ATTTGAATCAAATGGCTCGAGAGAAGGTTATAACCATAAATAGCAGTGGTTTTAACTCTGTTTTACTTGTTAGGATATTTTGCGTTAATTATGTTATGTGAAGCAACAGAACTAGATAGTTTACTTCAGGGGTAAGCAGACTTCAGTCCTGACTATTAAACAGTTATTTTGTCCTAATTTGTTCTAGAGTTCTCTGATGTTTAAGATCATGGAAAGGATTCTGCTCCTCTTGCACAAAGTGCCTTATGTCCTTTTGAGTAGCGGAACCTGATTAGACTTGGATGTGTCATAGATGGATTGTATTACTACAAAATGCGACTACTAGTTATTTCTGTATTTCATGTTCAACCAGCAGAAAGATGCCCATAAGATTTTATGCAGCTCTTTGTCATCTTGAAACTGGTTTTTACTTTACCTTTAATCTAACGTATTCGGCTTCTTTCCCCAAAAGTTCTTTTATTAGAAGGGAGTTGAAAGCTCCTAAGTTTGAACATGGTTTAGGTGATGGTTCCCCTGTGTCCCTTTCTTGTAGGTGTAGTATAGGTGATTAACATCATTACTTTGTCGATGTTTTACATCATTACGAAGGTTAATCTTTATCTTCAAAGAATAATAAAGGATGACTAGAGATGTTTCAGTTTTGAAAGTAGATGCATAGTTTTATTCCTTAGTCTAATGAACTTCTAGATCCTGAGGGATGATATACTAGTCTGGGTAATATTTTCTTTTTCTTTTTTCTTTCTCCCAATTTCTGATAGAATATGGAGACAAGTGACAGAAGGAAGGTTGTACCTCGTGTCTGCATAATAGGAGGGAAAGCTGCTCCTGGCTACGATATTGCAAAGAAGATTATCAAACTTTGTCATGTGGTAGCAGAGAAAATTAACAATGATGCTGACATTGGGGATCTCCTGAAATTGGTAGAGCAAAAAACTCATTTCTTTGCCTGTGCTCTTATTCTTAGTCTGTAAGATAAAAACTATTAAGAATGAGTGAAAATGATGCATAAAAACCTACTATAGTTTTTACTGGGTTGGTAGTGGGAACTGGTTATTCCAGGAAGTGACCTCTCGCAGCACTTAAGGTATGTCTTTTCTCCTGTCTATGTTGATCATTCGTTGCCTTTAATCTTTTTCGTTAATTTATTGTGGTTGACTGCTACTGATATATCATGTTTTCTATTCAAATCAAACTTTTGCATGGGAAGCTGCATACCTAAATTAATCCTTTTCTGGCCATTATATTCAGTTTCTTCTTGTTACAAGCATTCAAGGTATGTAAATGACTTAGAAAAAGTGTGATCTATCCTTTCTATGACTGTGGATATGGGCTTTGAGCAACTAGTAGTATATCCAATTCCTTTAGGATTATCATGGCATCAAAGCATTAATTGCCCATAAGGTCATTCAGAACAATGTAAAACCCTAGAAATTTAACCAGAGCCATAAAGTTTCAAACCTAAACCGTCATACTAGTTCTTGACAAATTTTTAGAGCTTGTTGATGTCAACTGATGATCAAGACCCCGGGATGACTTTATGTGGCTGTCCATACTGGGATTTTAGGTGTGCTTGGATAAAGATTATATGTAATGTTTGTACTGTTAGCTTGATGAACAAAGTCCTGAACTGCAGCTTGCCAACTAAATGCGGTGTATTTAGGACGATTCACTATGGTTTTTTGGATGTTATGCTACTTTCTGTGTCTATAATTTGTTCTATATTTTTGAAGTACGGCTGGACATGAGGCATCTGGAACTGGGAGCATGAAATTTTTGATGAATGGTTGTTTGCTGCTAGCTACTGCTGATGGGGCAATAGTTGAAATAATGGAGGAAGTAGGAGCAGATAACATGGTAATTACCATTAAAATGATTGATCTGCTTTAAAAAAATTTTCTTTTGATAGTTTTGCATGGTGAAAGGCAATTTTCATTTGAAGTTTGCTCAAGAGTGAATGCCTTAGCAAAAATGCATGCGTACTGAAGATTCTGACAGCTTTTGACATGTGGTGAAAACACCATAAAGAAAATGCTAGGATGGAAAGCAGTTGTTTTTGATGTGCTAGTGAAAAGTTATAAAATGAGAAAAGAAAATTCCATGTGAATTGAGTTACTTTTTTTGCTCATTTTATGCTTAGGTTTTATGAAGGTTTAAAACCTTGTCCAACTGTAGCATCCAAAAGCTTCTTAATGCATTCAGAATGATTTCTTCCATTAGGATGTAAGTTATGATGCTCTGAAGAGCAGGCTTTATAAAAGAACAAAGGTCTAGATACCTTCATTTTTTTCCTTTGTTTTGCAATTTGTTGTTCTTTTAGAAGTGCAAGAAAATGGTAATTTGTTTGTCCTTGGATTGTTTGTGTTTGTATGTGCGCATGTGTGTATGCCTTTTCTTTTAATTTGATATGACGCGTATACATTGTTGCAATGCACTTGCATGGTGGTTTGTCAACTGAATTTAGTCAGCATGTTGAGCATTTAAACCAGTATTTTGTGACATGGCACCTATTTATATCGATTGTAACAATAGTAACAGTTCTGTTGCCACTGTATGGCCATAGCAAGTAATGGATCTCTATTAAGCTGATGAGCTGTTGTGCTGAAAGCTACTAAAATACAATCTGAGAATGTGCTAGCAGGAAGAATGCAACTTTGACTTGATATCCAAAGATGTGTTGTTAATGCATAAGCATATGGAGTTTGACCTTATTCTTATTGGGTTTGCAGTTCTTTGGATATGTGTTTATGCAAATTTACTTTTACTGGTGTGCTCTAGCTTTAAGGCATCCTCACCATTGAATTATTGTTTGTCTTGCCATTTACTCGTGCTTATATGATGAATTCACTCCTCAAAATTTGGCAGTTCTTATTTGGTGCAAAAGTGAATGAAGTTCCAGCATTGCATGAGAAGGGAGCTTCACTCAAAGCACCCCTTCAGTTTTTGAGAGTTGTAAGGTAAAGAGTCATTAAGCAATCTCACTGTTCTCATCAATGATTGCTCTGTTGTTGTAGTTCTGTGTTTTGCTTTCCTTCCTGCTGAGTTCTGACATATGTATGGTTAGAACCTTTGGCTCCCACTAGAGGGGAAAACCATAAATTCCTATAGCGCATCTGAAAAATTATGCATATTTGTAAACTTCCATGTAAGAGGTTGGCTGCAAATCCTAATATTCACCCTCTTTGTGAATTATTTCTTCTGTGCCTTGCCGTCCCAATATGTGCTTGTGCAATGACTATTCAAACTCATCATTAAACTTCTTTTTACTGAATCAGTGTGTCCATGATTTGCAGAATGGTCCGAGATGGTTATTTTGGCTTCAAAGACTATTTCAAGTCATTATGCGACACTTTGGAGGATGGGAAAGATTTTTATCTCCTGGGATATGATTTTGCTAGTTATTTAGAGGCTCAGGTAGTGTTCTGGCCTTGGGCAATTGTTTTGCTTCCTTAAAATTGTGGTAGGACTAAATCAACATGATATTGTTGCAGGCTGCTGCTGATAGAACATTTGTTGATCCAGAGAAGTGGATTCATATGAGCATCCTGAGTACGGCTGGCTCTGGAAAGTTCAGCAGTGACAAAACAATAGAAGAATACGCAAAGCATACCTGGGGAATTGAACCTTGTAAATGCCCTTTTTGATGCAAAACATTGAGAGTTCCAATAGCAGCAATAATGTATCTAGAGAGCCGTCCTGAATTGATAGGCAGAAGCAGCCTGTTTGCATGGGCAAAGTACTACCTTGTCTTTCCTGTCATGATCTATGCTCTCTAAAGTACAATCAGTGGCAAGGGTGTGTGATCACATTACCACAATGCTTCTTCTCTGTTGCTTTAGACACTGGAAATTTATTCATTCCCTGGTAGAAGCTGCAGAAATGGTTGCATCAGCATCAGAAAGGCAATAAAGTGCGTCCTCTCTTACATCAAGATAAATTCATCGCTGAAGTTAGAAGCTGCAATAAATGGTTTCGTCCATGATGTGGAATGCAACTTGTATCTCTCATTTTGTCTCAATAGATTTTATGATACTATACATGGAACCCCAATAGATGATAATGTCAAAAGACGTCCCCCTGATTGAGCAAGGTCTCGGTTAGCCTGGGTAACAGATTGGGGTAAGGCCTGCAGCTCCTTAACTTTGGCAGGTACTCCCTCCTTCCCATTTGAAAGTGTCATACTTTCTATTTTAAGATATCCCAAAATATTTGTCACTTATTAAAAATAGTAAAGACTTTTCATTCAATTTCACTCTTTTACCCTTTTGGTCCCCACAATAATCAAGTTAAGTGTGCCCTTTGAGCTCACTTGTTCAGTATTCATGTGTTTGAAAAGTTCATATGAATACGCGCGTGGAGTGAAAAACCATAAGGAACTTGGTTGAGACCTCAGCACGCACAAGATATATGCAAACAAAACAAAAGTTCTGGTTCTACCCTCCAGTAGTTGTTTAGGCTTTTAATTTGAATTGGGATCAATACCTGAACTTATTGCATTTACACGAAGAGCTTTGGCGAGGGACAAAACGGTAAGCAACTCACCTATGCTGGAACTATTCATAAAAAGCACAGTTTACTGGAACTATTCATAAAAAGCACAGTTTACTAAGTGCGACGAAATTTTTGGGACGAAGGGAGTACTAGATAGTAGCAAACACCAACTCAATGCAGTTTCGCAATAGCCTTGTCAAGGACCTCCAGGTTACTAATAGGCAGATAGATATCTATAGATTTGAGTGGGTTTGCTACTTTATTGTTTCTGCATAATTTATTATTAATAGGCAGAATTTATTGTTTCTACTTTATAGCTACTAATTTTCTTCCCATTCTTATTGACCTTGGACCTGAAAATGTACAATTTCAATGGGGAAAGGAAGTTTATAAATTTCTAACAACGTCTAACTCTGCCAGGGTTTCAAATGAAAAAGAAAGGGGGAATAAAAGCAGATATAAATGAAGAAATGAGAATTTTCCTCTAAAACTGTTAAAGAAAAGAAACAGTAGCTTTCAGATTTACCAAAACAAGGGGCCCAAAAAAGAAAATGAAGAAGAAGGAGAAGGGGGAATTAGCGTGAATTTTGTGCATTTGAAGATCAACAAGATGTCCAATATTTAAAGAGAAATGCCAAAAATGGAATTATGCTCCCAGATATATTTTAATACGCTTCGGCTTAGCTTCATAAATTTTGTTCTTTTCTTTCATATTTTATCTCTAAATAACCCGACTCGTTGTAATGTAACGGTTGAAAGTAGTAGTTAGTTTAGTTAGGGAGCGGTCATCTGACAAGTGACGATCAAATCTTTCCTCGTACGACTCAAACTTCTAAAGAGCAAAAGCTGAAAGCGGTAGTAGGATTGGAATGTCGATTCTCTTAGCTTTGTTTGTGGCTACGTTCACGCCTCTTGTCTCATTCCTCGAATCAACGACGGCTTTGACTTCTCAAGTCAGCACTCGGACTGCTTTGTCCGGAGACTCGCCGACGACATGCGACTGTCTATTCTGCGAAGTCAAGGAAGCCCAGTTTAAGCTCGCTCAATTAGGTCACTTCTTTAAACTCTATTCATCACCAGACGGTATTCCGAAGAATTTGAATTTAGTCATTTTAGATTTTATGTATTTGCTAAATGAACCAATCTTAGGATGTGTTAATAAGATTTTAATCCTGTGAATTTCTCTCCTTTCTTCCGAAATATGTGGCTCGAACAATTTTAACCATTGTTTCTGTCAGGAGGAACATGATAAATAAGATTATTATGTGGGTGGGATAGATTTTTGCATTTTGTCTCTAGTACTAGTACTCTTATTGACTGACAGCGACGCAGTCATTGGACAAAGAGAATCTTGACAATGTGGTAGTATCAATGCAGAGTCTGCACTTGTGAAAAGCTCCCAGGATTTGAATGCTAAAGGTCTACATGCCAGAGAATGTGAGAAGAAAATTGAGGACTTGAACCTTGAGATAGATCTTCTAAAGACTGCTTTAAAAAGCTTTGAGGTTGGTCCTCTATTACAAGCTTGACAAGTTGCTGCACTCGGTGTTTTTTGAACGGACAAGTGTGCTTTTGCTAGTAATCAACAAATTAGTTGGTCTCAGACAAAAATCATTTAGTTCTTTATATGGAACAACACTTCCCCCCCCCCCCCCAACCAATGTATTAGCAGAAATTTGTGTTTGAGGGAGAGACCTGTCATAGGGAATGATGAGGTAGTTGACAGCAACTATGGTCTTTTTTTTCTGCCTGCACATTTTCCGTTGTTTTTTACAGGTTAATTTTCTTGTTCTGAGCACAGTTCTTGTTAGCTGTTCATCCATTTGGTAGTACGATGTTGATATGGTTAATATGCATCTAGTCATTGTACGTTGTTAAACTGCACATGATTGTCAAGACTGAGATAATGATTTGTGGCAGAAGAAAATAGAAACTGTTCTTAGCCTTTTAAATGAAACGTTGAATAAAATGGGAAAAGTACTTGCTGAAAGATGATGATAAATACATGATTAGATATCTGATTTGATTGCAGGATGTTTCCTCACATGCAAAGGAAAAGCTTTCTGCTCTTGAAGGAGAGGTATGGAATTTTAAATCCACTTATGTTTTCCAAATAAGTAATTTGTTCAATTGTTGAACATATATAAAGAGTAGAATTGGTGATTTTGCAGCTTCAACTTCTTTGGTCTGTCTCAAGGAGAAACAATTTTGAGATCCACACGCTTGAGCATAGAGTACATGATGCTGAAAAGAGATTAAATGCAGTTACATCAAAAGCGGAAAAGGTCAGTGGTATGTAATGTCATTGATGATCTAGTTACTTACTGAAGATTTACTGTGGGAACTACTCTAGGAATTACCTAAATAATGCCTATTTTCTTCGAAACTTGTGAGTTTGTTATGTTTATTGTCTAGAAGACAGAAAACATCTGGCGTCAAAAATATTACTTCGAGTTCCATCTGAAAATAATGTATTTATAGTCAGCATACATACTCTGTATCTTTCCTTCTCAAACTGTTCTTTTTTGGCACCATAAAATTCATTTTGTTGTAAGTTTGTAACAACACGAAGGGCCTCCTCTCTAGTTGTGGTGGCTCGTTATTAGGTGTAGAAGTTTAGGATCTATAAGGTAAGAGAAAGAAAGTAGTAGTAGAGAAGTTGCTCGATATGAATATCAAGTAAAGCCTGATTGTGGCAGAGAACTTTTATTCATAGATCTGATGCTCATTACTGATAGCTATCTCTCTGGTCTGTTAGGGGAAAAAGATATGTCTTATTAACTAAATTAAACTTTAAAACTTTTGTCTTTAATTTTCCCTGTGGAAATGTAACAACATCCTTCAAAGAGATAAGATGGAATTGACTACAGCAGTAAAATGAAAAAGTTGTGCATGGTTTGTCTTTGGTTGCTGGTATTTTCATGTCTTTCTTGAGAGGAAGAATGATGAGTAATCATTTGTTTTGGTTGTATTCATACTGGAAAAAAATTTCGTCTTCTTATTGAGATATCTGTGGAGTATGCAGCTGGTCCTTTTCTGTTTGGTAAAGTTTTGTTTCTTGCATGTTTTAGTGGAGTGTGGCATTATCAGCTATGACTTATATGGTGGTATCATCTAAAGGATATGCCAGTTCTTAGAGGATTGTTTGTTGAAATATTAGATTGAAAAGGGAACAACATCTAACTATGAGAAAAATGTAGTTCCGAACTTGGATTATCCCATGTTTTGTATTTGATGATAATGTTTATGTTGCTCAGCATCAGTTTCATTTAATCAGAAGTGTAAATAACTAACTCTCAACTTTTTCTTTGTGCGTACAGATGGCTGATATTGTATCTGAACAGTGGATTCAAATTCAGCAACTTGAACAAGCTGTTCAAATGATACAGGTGTCTCTCACTGCAGTTCAAGTTTTGTACCCATGTTGACAAATTACTCAACTCATAGTTGACTTGTTTCAAACTTTTATATTCAGGTGAGGGCATTGAAGGTTAGAAGGCAGCTGAGGACCGCAAGATGTCCATTTGTGAAGGTTGCGATTCTATATTTTACTCCTTGCTCTGATTTATTACTAGTGAATAATGTACTATCAAACCAGCAAATGTTGGCAAGATCTCTTATTCATGATTTTCTTGCATACTTTGAACAATACAAGAACCTAATGACCTTTACTGTTGTAGTTTGTGAGAAGTTTATTCTTGCATACTTTGAACAATACAAGAACCTAATGACCTTTACTGTTGTAGTTTGTGAGAAGTTTATTTGCTGAACGCCTTGAAATGCTAAAGGGGATTCTAGACCCATATATAGCCACAGGAAGGTCCGTTTTGGAGAGGTCTCCACATCATCTGCAGAGAACCTTTTCAACAGTAGAATATTGCCATCACTGGGTATGCTCTGCCTCCTTCTTCCCTCTAGATTTTTTGAGGTAAAACTTTAAGTAATTTTCAAATTAATGAAGAATTATAATTTTTATGAGATAATTTGTCACTTTGCATTTTCTAAGAAACTAGTTCTTCCTCTATTTTTCCGTCTCCTGTTTCATATACTGATTGCTGATCCCCCCCCCCCCTCCTATCTGGTTCTTTTGTTTTCTTTTCCCTTTCTTTTTAGATCTGATTTTGGATGGTGGTTACCAATGAAGTATCAATCAACCATAAAGAAAATTCTTTTCCTGCGAACTTGCAAGTCAGGCCAATAATGTTGGATCTTTGCTTTTGTTTTGCCTCTTAGTATTGGGGTACTGATAGTAATGGATGGTTTGGCACCTTGAGACACAGTTTTTGCTCTCTTGATATCACTCATCGTAAATTATTTTTCTTTTGATCCTGTTTTGGACAAAGCCTGCTTTCTTGCTCAAGTATACATGGTGAACTTGCTGTGACTTGGACTTGGAGTACTATCAAAATGAATTGTGTTAAAAACCATTACAATCGACATTTCCTCACAAGATTTCGTTTGTTCTCTTTGATTGATCTAAGTGGCTTGAAATCAACTGAATTGGCTGGTTCTCAAGCTGATTTTCTGCTTGTACTCTTTTCACGTCCACTTCCTATACACGAACAGTGGCATATTTTGGACAGACTAATGGCTTAATTTCTTGCAGTAGACTGACTGGGAGGGATTTTTGGATGATCTTAACACGTGTATTATTTAGTTACAAGGTTGTATCAAGCAGTCAATGTTGAGGAATGAGTTTACTGCAGTTCTTGCTAACGACGAAGTGGTGTTTTTTCTGGTAGTTCATTTTACTTCTATGTTTTCAAGCTTGATGATGCGTTGTAGACATGTAATTTGTTAATCTACTCATCTGAAACAATGCAGGCTTCAGCATTGGTCACCTTTCCAATATTAAGCATCTGCATGTTATTTTCATCACGTTTTATATAAGTTGGGATGAATCTCTTCTATTGAACAAGTTGGCATGCTCTTCAGTCTTGAAGGAAGCTGGCACGCTCTTCATCAATATCTTTACTCAAGAAAGTTTAATACTCCTGATACAGTTGCAGACAGAAAGGGTTGTGATAGCTACTGCATCAACATAAGAGTTGGAACGATTATAACTTCCCTTTCTATGCTTCAGCTAAATGGTTGGAACAATCCTATGTTTCCTCACTGTAATGCCACCCTCTTTTCAGGGGTGCATCAAGTCAATTCCACTAATGTTTAACAAAGTGACTTCTTAGATTTGGTATGTCTGCGAAGTTTTTCATTGGTTAGGCATCAGAGTCAAAGATCCACTTGGAAGAAATGTGGAAGTGTCAAATGTTATTTTGGTTTTTGTGGCCATTGTCTTGTTTCTGCTAGCATTTACTTTAATGTTGCGTGGAGATTAAAGATTGTTGCTTTTGTAAAATCAAGGAACGAGGAAATGTGGGCATGAATAGGGATTTTCTGGGCCAAGGATTGGGGATATGACGAGAACATACACATATAATGAAGGTAAGAGCTGACAAAAAGCCACCGTGTCTATTTTGTTTTTAATTATCACCATTTTTTGCCGTGAGGTTTAGAGTTCAAATTCTGTCACAGTTAAAAATGGGAACGATGTAAGGAGGGGTGAGGGGTGAGAGGATTAAAAAAAAATTTTATAAAAAAAATATAGAAAATATGTTTGGTCTAATCCTAGTTATCAATCATATCAAGTAACATCTCTTCTGTTCGCCTTTTTATCCTTCGGACAAATGGATTCGCACGATTAACTCTATCCTTGTGACGTTTTGCACTTGAACCAGAAAGGAAGATCCAAAAAATTGGGGGAGGAAATTATGGATACTCTGATTTTCCAGACCCTTGTTGTATGTAATTTCACTGAATCCATCTCGCTCAATCTTTCTTATTTTTCTTTTTTCTGTTTTTCCCCTCCTTCCAATCCTTTAATTTGCTGTCTTCTTCTTATAGGCCTATCAGTAACAGATGATAGAAACGATCCAGCAAACAAACGCAGAGGGGAAAATGGCGAGAGGACCCCAATGATGCCAAGAAAATGGAAGACACGACATGGGAGCAAAGAATCCATGCTTTGACCCATATCATAACCAACCCTACAACCACACCACCCCTCCATTCTCAATTCTTCATAGCCGCCCAAGTTCCCTGCTACATCCACTGGGACTACCCGCCAATTCTCTGCACCAAACCCTCTTCCACTTTCCCATCTCTGCATCTCAAATGGGCTATCTCTCTTTTCCTCAACAAGGTCTCCAGATTGGGTCTTCCCCGGACTTCTTGGAGGTCCAAATGCCCGTTTCAGCTGCCCCCACCGATCATCCTTGCTAAAGGAGTGGAGGAAGCTCAGTGGGGTGATGCTGAGAAGAGAGAATATGTGAGGAAAAGATTGAGAAGGAAACGACTTGGGAGCAATGTTCATCCCTTGATTCCAATTCTTGTACCAAATCTATTGTTGTTTGCCCTTCTGTTCTGGGATCCTGTACCAGAGTACACTTTGTAGGTAAATTTCTGTTTTATCATCATCATCATTTGTGGATATTGTGAGACCACCAACGTACCTTTGGGTGTTATCGTGTATTTTGACTTTTATTGTCGCTAATCTATATTGAGCAGGACTTGAAATTGGGAATTGTTATTAAGCAGTAATATCTAGCTTTGCTTGTGCTGTCACTTGCAGTTGTTAGATTAATCCCTAGATAGTATTATGGAACGAAGAAATTGCAATTGCTTGATCAATTTTTTGCCAATCATCTACTTTAGTTGAATGGAAGTATTTCCTTTGGAAAATTCAGCAGGAAAATTTGTTAAACTCTGTTGAGCGTCTGCCGTTCTTCATTTTCCTTTGAAAGCTGTTTGGATATGTGCTTAGTTTCCAGAAGCTTGGGAAAGTGGGAGGAAGAGATAACTTGGGCATCCAACTCATTTAGGCATCAGTTTAAAAGGGTAACCTTTGCAATTACAGTCTATAAACTGTGGAGTGCTAGGAATGCTGTGAGGTTTTTCAAGCTAAATATACAACTGCTACTGGGATTATGAATTCCATCATTGATATGGTGTAGAATGTGGTCAGAACTAGGGACAAAAATTCCAGGATGCAAGGAGAATTGTGGATTGGCACTACGACAGGACCCTCACTGGATCAGTTCTGCTAGATTTTTGGATAGTCTGTGAACAGTCAGTTGTTCCCTTGTGTGTAGTTGTCATTGCTTAATGCTTATCATCAATAAAAATCTTTTTTTTTTTTTTTGCTTGAAAAAAAACGCAGTACAAGATCATAAAAAGAAATTCTCTCTATTTTTTTCCTCGAACAGCGGAAGAATCACCAAATTCTCTTGTGATTTCTCCTTCACATTCTTTGGGTTTCTTGAGAATAATACCTGCCTATTATCTAAATAAGCGGAACTAGTCAAGGTTGTGGCTAAAAGAAGGGTCCATGTTTGGATTGCATTTTCTGAATTTTTTATAGAAAAATTAATGTAATAATTTGATATATGTGAAGTAAAAAGATGTTGAGCATCAATTTTTCTTTGTTTTCAAAACAAGACCACTAGTGTGATCTTCTGTCGTTTTGGACGGATACTTTTTAATTTCTGTCGTTTGGGAGAAACCGTGAAAACAAAAGGGTTGGACAGATTTCGTTTTCCTTCTAAAGCCAAAATGTTTTCCACCCATTTATGGCCGAATTTGGATGGAAAGTTGAGAGAAAATTTTGTATAATTTTTTGAAAATACCAACTTTATCCTTGAATGACTTATGAACTAAAATTTTAATAACATCTATATCCAAAATCATCTCATTTCTTTCATAAACTCCCAAATAATATTAAAGTACCTTCACTTTTTTTTCTCATCTTTTATTTTCTCTGGTAACTTAAGATTTCTCTTCTTTTCTTTTCTGTCCTCAACTCCCAAAAGACCCATTCAAGTTTCACAAACTTGTTATATAACTAAACTACTATTAGATTTTGAAATCGACAAAAAGCAAGTTTAATTTCCAAATAACCTTAATAAATACTACTATGATTAAAGTATATAGACACAATTAGTTGGATGAATTTTCTAAAGTAACTTGAACATAAGTGTAAAGTGAAACACGAGAATTGGTTCCTTGATGATATCAGACCTTTTTTGTTTTTTGGTGAAACACAAGTTTAATTTTGAATTCATAATCTCCTACTCATAATTTTTCTTTCTTTACCATCCAACCCAACCCTTCCCCTCTATCTTGCCGGTTACAAAGTCTAAAAGAAAGAAGTTTAACCTTTAAATATATGGTGGTTGAAGTGAGTCTAAAAGAAGGAATTTAACCTTTAAATATTTGGTGGTTGAAGTGAATTTTCTGTTTCCTCAAGAAAGTGCAAAAGAAAACGTGGCCAAACCAGTAATAGTGCTTAATTTTCTTTTCTTCCACTGAAAGATTTCTGGTACTGAAAACTACTCATTGACAGAGTCAAACGTCGTCTGACTCGTGGCCTTCCAGCATCTTGAGCCTTCTACTTGACGCGCCCCAAAAGTTTCTCCGTCTTTGGAACAAGGCCCCAAAAGTTTCTCAACTTGGTTAAACCGTTCCAACCACCCCTTCGTTTCTCACCACAACACATCTTGAGGAAATTGCCACATCTTTACCTATCAAGACAAGATAGTCGGGCTGTAGCGTAGGTATCAGCTGTATTCGTATTCTTGCAGAATTTGATGAACCATTGCTCAAGCAACTATAATCTTCTTGGTTGCAGGTGCGAAAATATAAAGAAAATCCCATAATTTAGAACGATGAGAGCCAATGAGAAAACAGAAACCACCTATACCATTTTTGAGGCTACATGTTAATTTAGCCCCTCGAACAACATCTATTGTCTCCCTTAATCAATTATAAATGTCTGTGAACTAGTTGATTGAAGCGATTAACTACAAAACATACGCCTAACACCCAAAAAAATATGTAGTAGACTGTAGTATAAACATGATTCAAACACGTTTTGCCTAATTTGTATATATAGTAGTAGTCTAGACTGAAAGCTTATTGACCGAAAGTATGCAATTCTAATTACTAGTTCGTGGAAATTAAACTATGATAAGTAAATGAGACAAATGCACAATTTGAGAGGTAAAAAGCACGTCTTACATTAAAACTCTCTTGATTTGCAGTACATGCTAGATATATGATAATGACAAGTTGCCCAAGAATTAAGAACTAAAAATGACAAGATGCATATGAAAAAATGTTGAGATTGCCTTCATGTGAGTTCTGTAATGGAAATCAAGATGCCATTGTCATGTAGGTTAAGAACACACAATTGGTCTAGGATCAAATCAACAATAGAATAAGTTTTTTTCTTAAAATTCGCAATGATAATGAGTACTTCTACTTTGGAGCGTTAGAATTTAGAGAACTACACTTAAAAATTTCTAGAATGCTGTTATACGTGTCAATAGAGACATTGCCAGATCTTTAGTAATTTTTATACAGTTAGTAGCTCATTCAGTCATAAGTATTCTACAATCTACATCCTTAAAAAAATCTGCTTCCGCGGTTTCCTTCTACAAACCGGCTCATTGTATTGCACTGCCACTATCACCTAAACGGTGACCCTCTTTGTCCATTACCTTGATTTTCCTAACAACTCGCTCCTAATCTTTCTCTTAATATCACTCTCTATATATAACACTAGTCTCCATCTCACTACTCATTCACTACCAATTCTTCATTGTTAAAAAAAGGGAGACCAACTCAATCTTTTTCCTTCTACTTCCCTCAAGTCCTATCCTTCACTGATCATCATCAACAATATACTTAGATCACGGTTCATAATATGGAAACCGTGTTGCTTTTTACCATAGCCATTGGTACGTCAACTTATCTCCTATGGTTCTATCTTCTAGCTCGAAAGCTTACCGGTCCAAAAGTTTGGCCATTTTTTGGCAGCCTTCCATTTTTATTCTTGAACCGTAGACGATTTCACGACTGGATAGCTGGAAACCTCCGGTCCACCGGCGCAGCTGCCACGTACCAAACAAGCACCATTTGTATACCATTTCTGGCACGTAGACAAGGGTTCTATACGGTCACATGCCACCCTAAAAACATCGAACACATTCTCCGAACCCGGTTCGATAACTATCCCAAAGGCCCCACATGGCAAACCGCCTTCCATGATCTTCTCGGGCAAGGTATATTCAACAGCGATGGTGAAACATGGCTTATACAGAGAAAAACTGCTGCCCTCGAGTTTACAACCAGGACTCTTCGTCAAGCCATGAATAGGTGGGTGAACCGGACCATCAGAACCCGGTTGTGGGTTATTCTGGAGAAGGCTTCCAAAGAACACATTGCAGTGGACTTGCAGGACTTGCTACTACGCTTGACATTCGATAACATTTGTGGCCTTACCTTCGGTAAAGATCCCGAAACCCTCTCCCCTGAATTACCCGAAAATCCTTTCGCCATAGCCTTCGATTCAGCGACTGAAGCAACACTGCAAAGATTGCTCTACCCCGGTTTTTTATGGAGGTTGAAGAAAATCTTCGGTTTTGGAGCTGAAATGAGACTAAAGAAAAGCCTTGAGGTCGTGGAAACCTACATGACTGATGCTTTAGACGCACGTAAAGAAACTCCGTCCGATGATCTCTTATCCCGCTTCATGAAAAAGAGGGATGTCGACGGAAATCTCTTCCCAAGCTCAGTCCTCAAACGCATTGCGCTCAACTTTGTTCTTGCAGGCCGCGACACTTCCTCTGTAGCTCTCAGCTGGTTCTTCTGGCTTGTCATGAACAACCCTCGAGTTGAGCAAAAGATCGTCAACGAATTATCCACCGTTTTACAAGATTCTCGAGGCGATGACATAGAAAAGTGGATTGAAGAGCCATTGGTGTTTGATGAAGCCGACAGGTTAGTCTATCTTAAAGCTGCATTAGCTGAAACCCTCCGTTTATACCCCTCAGTGCCTGAAGACTTCAAATATGTAGTCTCCGACGATGTCTTGCCGGACGGGACCCATGTTCCGGCTGGTTCAACGGTGACTTATTCGATATACTCGATGGGAAGGATGAAGACTGTGTGGGGAGAGGACTGCATGGAGTTTAAACCGGAGAGGTGGCTCTCCACCGCTGGAGACCGGTTCGAGCAGCCTAAGGATGTTTACAAATTTGTCGCGTTCAATGGTGGACCGAGAACTTGTTTAGGCAAGGACTTGGCTTACCTCCAAATGAAGTCTGTGGCTTCAGCAGTGCTTCTTCGTTACCGGCTATCACTGGTCCCCGGTCACCGGGTTGAACAAAAGATGTCTTTGACCTTGTTCATGAAGCATGGTCTGAAAGTGTATTTGAGTCCACGTCTGCTTGCAGCTCCAGCTCCAGCATCAATGGTTGCCATGTCAGCATAAAAGGTGACAAAGTAAAATTGGGAGTTTTGAATGAGGGCAGAACTGGAATTTCACAGTAAGGGTTGGATTGGGTCTGGGTTCCAGGTTCAAAATGAATATTGGTGATTTAATTTGCATTTACATTTTGTTATAAATATTCTGGAAAAGTTTGTTTGATGTTTATATACATATTTGAGAGTGGTTACTCAAATATAGTGAAAGCAAAGGATGTTTTCGTCAGTTAAGAGCTGGTTCTTGTCCAGGGAGAAAAATTTGTAATTTCCATGTCCATAGATATGAATTTTCATCTGCTACTCCATTAAATTAATAAAAGGGAAAGTTTTATTTATGGTGCTGATTGATTTATCTCTCACAACACATGACAATGAAATTCTTCAAGTCTTTACATCTCTAATCTGGAAGTGGCCTCTTGGTCACTTTACTATAGACTCGTAGCAAACAACCCATTAAACTAGTACTTAATTTCAAGTCAACAATAGGTAAACAAACGAAAAACTGATATCTTTTTCATTGCATTTTTTTTGGGTTCTGTACGAGCACGAAATCCCGGGATTGAGGTTCCCAAGGAGGGAAAAAAAGTTCCCGAGACGGAGGTTCTTATGAAACAACGAAGCAGAGCTGGGGTTGGTCCCCGGTTCAACTCCGATACCTAAAGTTAGCAAAGGTAGGAGTTAGGTTTTGTGATCAGCTACCTTGAGGGATCCGCGAGGGAGGTGTTTATAGTATGATGATTGGTAGGTTATTAGATTTCTGACCGCTTTAATGAGGTAGGGTGCGACTACAGGTCGACTATAGGTTTGAGTATCTAGCTAGTTAGAGGGTGATGTCAATTACTTCATATCAACCACGTGCTGCGCTCATGAGGCCATTCGAACTGTAAGG